ATAAATTACTTAAATTTGCAGATGATATTAAGGTCTTGGGTGTTACTAGCTGTTTTAATTATAATAAATGCAAGATAATGCATGTGGGTTATCATAATTTGAATTATAAGTATAATTTAGATGGAATAACCTTAATATGAAAGATAGGGATCTTGATGTAGTAGTTAATCAGTCTCTAAAGCCATCCAAGCAGTGTGCTGTTACTAGTGGTAGAGCATATAGTATTTTAGGTTGTATCTACAGAAATATTGAATACAAGTCTAAAGAGGTTATAATTTTAGTGTATAGGTCACTTGTTAGGCCACATTTGGAATATTGTGTTCAGTCTTGGACTCCTTACCTAAGGAAGGGCATTGAATTGTTGGAAAGGGTTCAGTGGAAGGTTAGTAGAATGGTGCCTGGGATGAAGAAGTTGTTATACGAGGAGAGGCTGAAATCTCACAAATTGTTTTCTCTTGAAAAAAGAATAGTTAGGGGGGGATCTGATTGAAGTGTTTAATACTGTAAAGGGAATTGATAGTGTTGATGCATCATAGTTTTTCATATTTAACAGTGACAATAGTAGGACTAGGGAACACAAATATAAATTTTGGCAAAGTAGTAGTCATCTTCAGCTAAGACAGTATCATTTTTCTAACAATTTTTCAATTGTGTGCATTTAGTAAAAGAGCTGTTTAAATTATTTTTTATAGATTTTCGTAACAGTTTTATGTGAATTGACTTTTTAGAGTTTGATTTAAAACCCATAACATTTTGAACATCTTTTAGTTAATATATAAGTGTGAATTATCAGACATAATAAAAAATGTAAAAAGTGTAGACTGTATGTACATCATTCTTAAACTATAAGATTGTGTTAATAAAACATACAGGTAATAAGGGACTTTTTGTTTTACTTCAAGGCAGTCCCTACACACCCACCTGTGACAAAAAAAAAATCAAATCTACCCTTTTATTTTTAGGAAATTATCAATTCCTCCTTTTAAACTTTTGTAGAGTGCTTGTCTCCACTACTGTCTATGACAACTCATTCTATAGGCTAGTCGGTCTGTTAGAAAGATAAAACGTAACTGAAACCTAGCCTATCTTTCCATATCTTAAACTTGTTTCTTCTTATCTTCAGAATATAACACAAAGAAGTCAGCAGTTTTTATGACCTCCATATAATCTGGAACACTTCAATAAGATCACCTCTTATTCTTCTTTTCTCAAGAAACTGTAAGCGATCTTAACTTACACCCTTAAAATAACCTTTCAGTACCGAGGATCATCCGAGTAACCCTCTTCTGAGCTACTTCCAGTAAATCATTATCCTTTCTTATATGAAAGGACCAAAAACTGTTCTAACTAGTGACTTGGTTAAAGAGGTATTACCACTTTTAGCTTTTCATCAACACATCTATAACTACACATTAAAACAGGCCTTCTAATAAATCTATAAAAACCTCTATTTTGAAAATGGCTTGTAAAATCCAATTTCTTTCAACCACAACCTGAACCACACATGTATATATATTTTTGTTTTCATAGCAAAATATGCTAATAACAGGATTGGTGAAAAGAGTAAAGTACTGACCTGTTTATTTTTGCTTGATTTAAAGTAGCCTAAATGATGCCTTGTTTTTCCTACTTTGATCCAATGTTTGGTTATACTCCTTGTGCTTTTACTGTTGCAAAGGGATATGTAAGGTGATCCCCAAAGTAACATAAAGGTCATGAGTCAGTGTATTGCTTCGTAATTATCCTTTTGATCAAATAACATCCTCAAATTCAAAAATCACTTCTAACATCAGCAATCAAAGCCACATAAAAGATATATTTCTTTTAAATATATGTAACCTAACTTGCTTATGTAACATATCAAGGATTCTACAGTAATTTTGTATAAAATAAAATAACCTATCACAGTTGCATAAAAATGAAGTAAGTTTCTCATCAATTTTATGCCAACTTTGTATTATTTATGGACCAAAAAACATTTGTTGTACTTCATTAGCCAAGGCATTAAATTACAGTTCTATGAGAAAAACACATGTTGAGTTTTTTGTTTTTTTTTCCAGTTACATATACAGTGAAGAAAGTGCTTAACACATTGAGAAGGGGAAAACAGTGGCCAAGTATGATAAAGTGGCATGCTTATTTAGACATTCAGCAATGTGCATGTATGTATATTATCTGTGCTGATTAAAATGTGGCAGTGATAGTTTCTTGTCAGACTTATGGCTTGCAAATAGCACGACATTTTCTATATCATATAAATTATAGTTTTTATGTAACTCTAGACGCACCACTGGGTTGGTCCTTCTTAGAAACATGCAAAACAAATTTAATATTTCTAGATATTGGGAGAGGGGACCAAAGGATATGTTGCACTCCCTCCCCTTCCAATTCCTACTACAGTGACACGTATCAACATGATGTTTCATTATAAATGTATAAACCTTCTGTATGCATTAAATACTTTACATAACAGAAACAGTATTTTACATGTATGATGATGATATAGAAGTTTCATGAATATTTATGTACAGTATACTCATTGCATGTACTCAACAGAAGCCTAACAACTGGCACTGTTAAATTGTAAGTACATACATGAACTAGAAGCTTATGGAATTAGTCAGTAAAGTATTCTTTGGTTTTGGCATGAGTCTTCTTTATAAGCAGTTGGGTCTTATTTTGTATGAGTCAGCAACAAAATTAATTGTATAAGCATATTGTTTCTATATGTATACTACTGTAAATGTATTCATTAGTTATCAAAATTACCTACTTATTGTAATAAGAAAAGTTAAATGCTCATTTTTAAGGTTTTATAAGCATCTTACCCCCCCCCTACAAAATCCTGTTTGTAAAAACAGTATAATTTGATAATAAAAGATTTCTAACTACCTACTTTTGTTTTTTGTGAGTAAAAAAAAAAACTAAAATAAGTTTGACTTCCAAGACCAGAAAACTCCATAATATGAATGTTAGCACTGAAGTTTGAATAAAGATAAATTCTTAAATAATTATTTGAAAGTGTAGGGTTTAGGGAATAATTTATAAGATTACATTTGCATATATACATCTAGTTTTTCAAAGTGCTTTTAAAACAGTTTCAATGAAATTTTTTAAATGTATAAATTGAAGGTACCATTTTGATCAGGTACAATATTTTTTCATAGTATCTCTAAAGCTGTACTAGTTTACTGTGTACATTGTTCTGATTAAATCCTTGTGTGGTTGTAGGATATCAAAAAAGCAAATGTTTAATACTGATAATTAGACAAACTTTGAGATTATTGTAATCTATTCTTGTATGTTTGCATAATGTACATAAAGATAATTCATGTAGTACATCTGATTCATAAGTATTGAACAGAATTTGACCTCTTTTTTTTTATTATTATTATAATTATAAGTTAAAAGACTGAAATACATATAACATACTGGTCACTCTCAGCATTGCAGTACTGTATCAGTAAGATACATTAATAGGTGAATTCCAAATTTATTTTCATTACTGTTAAAGGTACGTCCAGGTGCATGTCAGTTCTGGAAAATAACATTGGTGAACATTTGAAAATATTTTGTATACTAAGTACAACAAAAGAAAATCTAGGCCACTTGTTTATTTGTTCCTTAATTTGTAAGAATTGTATTATTTATAAGAATCCATGAAAGTTTAATATTTCATCTGTCAATACAAATAAAAAATTTACTAAAACACCATAAATTTTCAATAAATGGACCATCCCTTAATGGAAGTACATTGATTGTTTACTGTTATTAGCATTTTTTAAGGTACATCTTAGGTTATGCTATTGCTGATTTACAGTAAGTACTGTGTGTATTTTAAGATGTTTTGAACTTGTGTGGATTTAATAATAAATATGCATACATGAATGTATGAAAATAACTGAATTTTGGTATTTTACCACCACTAGCTATGTGACTTTGTGGTACAAGGTCAAAGTACCATTTGGTTGAAGATGGACAAGTTTACAGTTGATTTAGATAAAGTCTTGGATGAGTTTGAAGAAAATGAAGGTAACATATAACTAAATTAATTCTCATTCAGTGCAATGTAAAACTTTGTAATATGTGACGTGAAATGATGTGAACCTTGAACTGTAGTATGTATCTTAAGTAAATAAAGTCCTTTAAAAACCTGATACAAAAAAGGATATCACTTGACAGAAAGTGTATAGTTTTTGTATCTAAGTCATAAATCTTAATTAATCTAGATTTATGGGAAATAAAGATTTTTTTTTTATTGACATAACTACATTATAATTGCAATTTACTAGTTGTCAGATAAAATAAAAAAACATGTACATCAGATACCATGCTGGACTCAAAATTTAGGGAGAAATTAATCTTCTTTAACCTCCAAAACAATAACTATTTGATAGATAGTTTTTCAAAAAAATGCAGGAGCTGTAAAATTTTCTCCTTTAATTAACAGATACCAAATATCACAAACCACAAGTCGATCAGATACACAAGCTTGTTTTGTACTTTTCCTTGTTTTAAATGGATTAGATACTAATGCAATAATAATAGTTAAACAAAATGTAAAAATATGAATTAGAACCAAGAATAATACATATAATTTGAATATTCCTCCGTAATGGATTTAACACTTGTAACTTAATCTGTATTGCAGAAAGATTTCAACAAGCATTGAGTTGATTCAAATAAAGTCACCAACTGTGTTCAAAATTAAATCCCTGTAGGGCCCATACATCTTTATAAATTTAAAGAGCAAAGTTGTTGTTTTTTTTACTTTATTACAATGATAAGGTGAAGTTTGGCTCTGAAGGTGAAGAATTTTGCCCAATTGCCTGTAATTAATTTTGAGTGTGAAGAGGTTATTAATAATAAGGATATTACACATACATAGTTCACTGCTGTACCAAAAATGAAACAACTGTTGTCACTTTTGCTCCACTCTGTATATGAGATTCATATAACTTGAAAGTAAAACATAAGGCAGTATAATAATGTTTTTATTTTAAATAATATTTATAACACTGGCTTAGAAATATCACAGTGCTGTTGCATTTACTTAGTATACCTATTATTTGATGATCTTTACTCAACTGTATTTTTTGGTATATGAATATTCAAGGCATTTTTTTCTATGACAGCACACTGTATAATTAGTTTAGCAGATTAATATATATATAGATATGTGTTATGTATTCTGCAAAGAAAACATTGTAGTTATCAGTGATGTACTGTATTTGTTTTATTCATTGTGATTCTCAATTTATCTGAGCCTTTGGTAAAAGGTTTTAGGTAGAAATTTCATATATGATAGATCATTGCATATTTTTTATGCTTTTGTTTTATTTAGATCAACAAGATAAATGTTCAGCTGGTGTTTGGAACTCTCAACAATTATATAGAAGTTTGAGAAGTTCACAACATGAAAAAGGTCTAGATAATTCATGTATTCTTGATAGAAAAGGTGTTTTAAGTGTACCTTCCAGAGACCTCAAACCAGCGCATTTTCAACAGCCAAAAAACTACTGGCGTGCGGAATATACAGACAAAATTGATCTTTCCGAAGCTGACTTTGCATCAAACCTAAAGACGTCCACTCTAAACCCTCCTCCTTCTATTGATGACTCTAAAAATCAGAATAATTTCATGTCTTCAACAGACAATGATTTATTATTACAGGGTCCATTTATCTCTAAGGGGAACAGTTTGGCAAATACTGTAACTATAAGAAATGGTTCTCATATCAAATCTTCTTCACCAATTTCCACAACAGGCCAACTTATAAATCCTTCCAGTTTGAGAAATTGTTCAAGTTCAAAACCAGAACATTTATCGAGTGTTTCAACAGTGTTGTTAAAATTTAATCACTCCCAATATTCACGTGACATTGATAACAGTGAATATCAACCACACACGTCTAAAACATGTGAATCCCATAATGCATCATTATTGCCCTCTCATGAAGCTTCATTAACTAACAGAAGTACGTTAAGTGCATCTGATATTAAACCACAGAGTAAGTTTGAAGACCATCCATTTTGTAATACTGATTACATATCAAGATTTAATGTTTTCAATAGTAAAGGAAATTTTATTAATGGCTACAGTGGAGAAGAAGATCAAGATGTACTTTGTGTTTCAGTTCCAGCAGAAACTAGCAGTACATCGGAGTTGACATCACAAGACCAAAAATATGAAATACATTTGCTGTCATCAAACCAAATGTTGCATGCTTCATCTGAAAATGAGATAAAAAATGTGATTTCTTCCAACAGTGAATCAATAGACTGCGAGTCATTTCTTCCTTGCATGGATACCAGAAACAAGGATTATGATAATGAGATCAGTGAACTTGCGTATTATCATGGTGTCTCCAAGTCACTAGAAAACGATCAGTCTGTCACCAGTGAAGAAATAAAAAAGGTTGAACAAAACTGTAATAATTCACAGCCTCACAAAAGTACAGAAAATGAAATGTTTTATTTCGACCAGAACACAATTCAGTGTGGCTCTTATGAAATGGAATATGATTCCAAAGAAAGTGAGAATCACTCCACATCACAAGATAGTACTCTAACTGCAGGAATAAAGCAACCTTTGTCACAAAATTCTGAAGAAATAAGTTCTAATGACCCAACAGATACTGAACAGAATGAAATTGATGTACCCTGTCATCACATTTTCATCCACGAACATCATATTAAAGACATCGACGTGACCCCATTTCAAGAGAAGTCAAGCCCTATGAAAGTTGAAGACTCTAGTGTTATTCCTGATGATGAGTTTTCAGGAGTTTCAAAAAATCATAGCACTGATGATTGTAAATCTCATTTGAATGATAAAACTAGTCAAAACAATTATAGTAGCTTATCTAAAAACCAAGAGATAAGGAATGATATACACAGTCAACAAGCAGAAAGTGAGGATTTAAGTTGCATTAATAGTTTTCCTTCTGAGGAAAAAATATCAGAAGACCTTAGTGATGCATGCCATTCTTTAAATCCTGAGTCACACGAAAATGGTTGTAAACCTAAAATAAAAAGATTTGGAAGTTTAAGTGATGAGGATGTTTGTGAGGAAGAAATGGAACAATATTTAAGTGATGTAATATTGCAGGATAGTGAAGAAACTCTTGATGAAAAAGTTGAGGATGACTATGAAAAAAAACATTTGCAAGAACTAGATGAATTAGATAATCTCTATATTTCTGATAGTAACAGTATGATAAAAGAAGAAAATCCAAATTTGTTGTTGCTAAGCGACAACATGCTTCAGGAAGAATTAGTGGATGACTTTTCTAATGAAAACTTGGATATAAGCAACTGTTGTATTGAAAAACCTGATGGAAATAATTGCTTCCCTGAAGAGTTAACCATGGAGAGTTATTATACTGAAGAGCCACTTAGTAGTGACTGGTCTAATAAAAAATTAATGTCAGAAGGCTCTTGTGTTAAAGAATCAACGTCTGACAATTGCTTCATTGAAGAAGAGTTGCTTATAAATGACAGTTCTGTTAAAGAACCGGTTTTAAGTGGATCTTGTGTTAAAGAGTCAACTGGTAACAAAGCAGAAGAAATTGAAATTTTAAAATCAGCTGGTGATAATTGTGAAAACAATTCAGAGTTAAAGTTGTGTACAGAGAGTTATGACACTGATGTTTCTATAAGAGATGAAATGAAGAACAAAGATAATGTTTGTGATGTAACACCAGAGACTGAAGAAGCATGCTTATTTTCTTTAGATTCCAGTTGTGGGGCCCAGTTACAGTCTGAAATTACAACTTCTAATGAAACATCAGATGCTAACACCATTGTTGGTGATGAAGACAACTTTACAGAAAAAGGGGTTGAAAACTTGTTGAACACTGAAGAAGAATTGGTTACATCACAACAATGTGTTCAATTTTCTGAAACTTTAGATACAGACCTTATAGATACCTCAACTGACTTGAAATCACCTTCTTCAGTTGTTACTGCTGAATGTTGCACATCTGTTTCTGAATTCAAGTCATCTTCTCAGGAAACTACTGAAACTGCCCAGCCCAGAGTTCAGCGTCCAACTTTTCTTAATCTACCCTCTAGAGCTCACGCTGTTTCTAAGCCAGTCCTACCTCCATCTTCAGACTCTGATGAAACACCTTCTCCTGAACATCAGCAAGAAACATCAGGTACAGATGAAATACCTGCAGAAGTAGTTGATGCTGCACCTCCATCAGATGACTCTTCAAACACTGTGGAATTTACTAATGGTAATATTTAATGTTTCAATTTTTTTATTGATACCAATGAACTTGTACGTAAACCTAGCAATGGACAGTAATGAAAAGTGTTCCTGCACTATTATTGTCATATAAATATTGCAGTAATAGAAGTTATACAATATACTTTTTAAAAAAAACTAAGAGGTTATTGCAGTCAGAAGTTTGTTACAATTATTTTCCAGCTCTATAGTAATATTGTGACTAGATGTTAAATTGACATTTGAAAGCATGATACTCATCATATAATTCTGGTGGTATTTTGTGAAGATATATTTGATAATGCATTAATGTTTATCATATTACTCGTAAAGAAAGCAAGAAAATTTGCCTAATTACTGATGTTGCAAGGACAAAATTAGCAAATTCTAAGAAACAGTTCTTATCAATGCTTGTTTCCCCCTGTTTAGGTATTACCGCATAAAAACATGACTGAACTATGGATGTAATGATATAAATTTGTTGCATATCATTGCTTTCACGATTTATGTTTAAAGTTCTGCTAAATAGCCCAAAGTAATATCTTTTAAAAGCCTCTCAAACTGCCCCATTGTAGCCTTAAATAGGTTCACTAATATTATTCCAAGTCACTTACATAAATATGTATTTATAACTCCTAGTAAAGATTTTATTATATTTATAACTCCTAGTAAAGATTTTATTATACTTATAACTCCTAGTAAAGATTTTATTATATTTATAACTCCTAGTAAAGATGTTATTATATTTATAACTCCTAGTAAAGATTTTATTATATTATACAACTCCTAATAAAGATTTTATTATATTTATAACTCCTAGTAAATATTTTATTATATTTATAACTCTTAGTAAATATTTTATTATATTTATAACTCCTAGTAAAGATTTTATTATTATGTAACTCCTAATAAAGATTTTATTAT